GCGATGGATGGATCCGGCTGCATGGCGCGGGTGTGGGCGTACGCCCGTATACACCCGTGTTGGTGCGCGGATCTATCGATCCGATGGATCCATACAGCAGTGGCACACCTGTGGCACGCTCACCGATGCGCTTTTGCTAGATTTAGCCCTGCTGAACGGCCATTGAACGCTCTCTCTTTCTGCACGCAGGGGAGGCAAGTCCAGGAGCGCCTGTTGCAGCAGATTGTCCGGGCACGCCGTCCCTTGCTGGGGAAGGAGCTTTGCAGCAAGCTCGCGTGGAAGGGTGTTTCAGCGTGAACACCAAGGAAAAGCTGCCTCTGCAAGTCAGGAGCCTGACATTTGGGGCCTGACTGGGGTTCCCAAGAACGGGAGGGGAGCTGGCAAAATGTCCCTAACCCATGTGGATGCTTTCTGCGTTTTCTGCTTTGTGCAGGGGCTTACCACCTCCCAGGCTCAGTTGCACGGGGCCGGGCGGGTTTTTGTGAGCTGGGTAAAACACCTTTGGCCTGGCTAGCACAAAGCTTCCGCTGATGCACCCGTACTGTTGGTGCGGGTTTATAACGGGTAGTTTAATTAATGTAGGCCAGGGAGGCGCAGATCCTTGTCCTCTCTCTCCCGCTTTGCCATCCATGTGTATGTAGGGCAAGGCCTCTGTGCGCCTTGTAAGGCACGCACCACCGCGCGGCCCTGGGCTCGCTGGAGATGCTAATGCAATTATCGTACTATTACTGAGTTTCCTTCATGGCCTCTTGTGAAGGACATGTCTGAAATCCTTTTTGAGCATTCTATTAAAAGCCATCAGTAAATTCAGCGTTATTCCAGAAACGATAGCAATTAAATTGCCTGCATCAGCCCCAAAAGCAGATGTCGGTGGAGCAGCTTTTGAGCGCATCTTTCTGGCTGGTTTCAGAAAGTCTCGCTGCGTGTGGCGGGGGGCAGGCACCGACCTCGATCGTGCCACCAGACATCCAGAGCAGCTCTGCTGAACTCCTGGCATTTAAACAGCGGTGGCACCAAAACCAGACTTTGGCCCAAAGACGTGTTGAGGGCAACCTGTATCACATGCAGGACTTCGTTTGCCCGTGGATCTGGTTTGTATCTGTTATTTATTGCTAGTGTTGGGACAGCAAAGAAATCCTGAGAGGAAAAAAAAAAAGCGGCAGATAATTGAGACTGCTTTTTGCTTCCTACCAGTACATCTAAGCTGTTTTCAGTTGTTAGGTTTCTCCTTTGCACCCAAGTTTTACTGCGACAGAGAATTGCCCACGGGTTGTTCAGTGCTTTGTGCAATTTTCAAGGCGTTTCTCACATTCGTGCGGTGACTTGAGTGCCGGGTGCGCAATGTCCCCTCGGCAGCCCCAGCGCCAGCATCGGGAGCGATGTCTTTCTGGAGGAGCTGGGGACACCACAGCGCCTCGCTTGCCCCCGGTGCAGCGCGGGTCCGCGTTAACAACCTCTCCCACAGCAGGATGCCAGCAGCCAAAGCGCTTTGCCAAGCACGAGTCCGAGGATCGGTTGTCCTTGGGGGTGCCTGGCTTTTCAGAGGACCAGAGGAGACCTCATGGCCCATGTTAGCTCTCTGATCTCTGCCATCAAGTGAGCAAAAGGGAGTAACACACCTGCTTCCCTCCTCTGTGCCTGCGGGTAGGGTTTCTCCTCTCCCTGAATGCTTGCCAGCGCAGCTGAGCTGGCTCAGGAGCTGCTGTAATTCACTGCTATCTTGCCAGGCCAGCAGCAAGTTGCTAGCTCATCTTTCTCCCACCTGTAGCGAGGGGAGAGCCGGCAGGGAATGGTGTTTCATCCATCTTCCCAGGCCTGCCCCTCTAATAGAGCTCTGTAGTGCTATAGGCAGTGTGAGCCAGGAATTTGGGGCCAGCTTCCTTGCAAGGCTGGCCGAGAGGCGTGACGCTAAAGGAACAGCCAAAAGCAATGGAGAAAATAAGGGGCAGGTGGGGGGGGTTCATACAGTCTTCATGCAGGCAGGCTCCTTACCTTCCAAAGGGGCTGGCGTGGGGTTAGACCCGCCAGGCTAACTCTGGCTGTTACACTCCAGCCCTTGTGCTGATCTCCCTGCCAGGGGAAGAGCCCTCCCTGCCCCATGCAGGCATGCCTGCACCTTGGGGTGCTTCACCTCTTCTTTGCATCAGACCCGTCAGGTTCCACCAAGTTGCTTGCCCAGGCTGGGTCTCAGTTTGGACATTAGGACGGTGCCACGTTTACAGTATTTGACTAAAAAATGAGAAATGGGGTATTTTGTAGCCCCTCTGCTTTTGCAGAGCTGCTCGAGGAGCTCTTCCAGGTTGCAGGGACTGTGGTGCCTGGGGAGGTGTCCAACGTTGAGTCAAAAGGAGCAGCAGGGACGGCCCCGACATCCCCACAGCGAAGCCTTTGCCCTCGGCGCTGCTCGGCTCTGCGGTGCGCTGACGGGCATCCAGCCCCCGGCCGAGCGGGAGCACCTTTGTGCACGGGTGTACTCCTGGACACGGCACGGCACTGAAACAGTGGGCTCCTACCTCTGGTGCCCAGGCAGGGGCTGAAAACACTGGGTGTATTTTGATTTGGGCATAGCCAAACAAAAGCCAGATCCATCGCAGCAGCCGTGGGGAACAGGTAATTTCCAGAGATTGTAATGAGTGTGTTAAACTATTTCCCTTTCTCACTATAATCACTTTCACAAAACAGGTTTAATGAAGAGCTATTCTCTGCTTACAAAATGGTGCTGCACAGGCTAGATGGGCTCCTCTGACCTTTCAATGTGCTTTACTTGAATTGGCTGCCTCTTCATGTTCTCCGCTCACTGCCTTGAACAGGAAAGACAGCTGAAATACAGACTCTTACAGCAAGTACTGTGGCATATTGCCACCTTTCCACCAGTCACCGGTATTCTTCCTGAAACCATAGGTATTTATTATTGGTGGAGGTATTTGTGTTCTTGTGTCTGGGAGCTCTGCATAACGTTTCTGGAAAGAGAAGTGACCTGTATCCGTGGTACTACTGTAGTAGAAATCAGTTTTATCTCTGGTGTAACATAAGGGAAGAAGTAGGAAATGTCTGGACATGCCTGAAGGACAAACCCAGACCCCTCCGTGGCCGAGACACCAGCGGCAAGCAGGACAGGTGAGAGCAGTCAGCCAAAACAATTTTGCCGTCACAGATAATTCAGGCAAGGAAAAGTTTTCGGGCTTAGTAATCAAGGAGATGGAAAGGTCAGTCTGGAGCAGAAAGGGATAACGGAGGCTTGAGTCGGATGCTGGCACAAGAAAGGTTTGGATCCTCCTTCCCAGCTTCCTGTAATTCCCAGACAGCTGTCCGGATGACATTCGCTATTTGTGTTATCTTTGCACCTAACGGAGTGGGTCAGGGACCAGGGTGCTACAAAAGCAAAACAAAAAGCTGTCCCTTTGCCAAGGGAACTTAAAATCCAACCCTGAGATGGGAGAGAGAGCCGATAGGAACCCTGGAGAAGGGGGAGGACGAGCGAACAGCAAGGCTGCAGCCTAAGGAATGGCATTGGTGCAACCGCGGCTATCACTCATCCCTGCAGAGAGAGGAGGGAGTGCAAGGAGAGAATGAGGTGGGTTTGTGGGTGTTTGCAAGGATTATGATAATACTTTGTGACAACAACAGAACAGAAGATTACACATTAAGGTAATGTTTGGGCAGCGGCTAACATGAAAACAGTGTGAGAAGTTTTAAGTCTGCAAAATTTACAGTGCTACCCAAAATAACTGCACAGGAGTCATGCTTGCCCTCTGTAATCGGGGCACAGCCATGGTACATGCTAGTGAAATGAAGACAGATTTAAACCAACGCTGTGAAACCCCTACCCTACCTCTTGCTTGCAGAGGGTCCAGATGTCAGGTTGGGGATGGGGAACTGGGGACTGCCGTCAGCCTGGGAAGATGCATGGGTGGGCAAGCAGAGGCCAGATCTGTGCCCAGCAAAACACCAATGAAGCGTTTTGGGTGTGGTTTTGTTCACAGAAGTATTAGCGCAGTCGTGCAAAATGTACAGATGACACCAAAGTGGATGAGAGTGTTAATGTCACTGTTGAATCCCGATTTCCTGGATGGCAGCAGAGGATCTGCAGGCAAACAGTCACATAGATGCATCTATCTGGCAGAGAGGTATCTGACAGCTAGCTATCACATTTTTCAAGGGCTTATTCCTAGCTGTTTAATACTTCATATGCTCTCTTGGGGAGGGAGGAGAGAAGAACGGAGGAGTATATTTGGCACAGCAGGGAAGTGGACTCGGGTCTTTTCCATCCCTTAGTGCTGTGCTGTTGCAGAGGGAGAGAAAGCCTCCTTCCACAGCGGCACTAATCCTCCTCCACAGTGAGCTGAACGTTTTGAACTTGAACAACTCCTCTCATTTTTCCCCCATGTGATTGTGAGTCAGCTGAGCTTCTCTATTCTTCTCCATAATTGAGTAGGAGATTATTTTGACTGGAAATAACCAGACACAGGTATCATGGCTGTGAATGCCTCCATGCATGCCACTTGCTAAAAGTTCTGTAGCCTTCTGCAAAGGGAGCTGGTCTTTAAAGACTTTGCTCAATGGAGAGGGAAGAAAAGCAGAGGGGAAAAATAGCTCCTTCCTGCTCACTTCTATCACTGGCTCTGCTAAACTTAACCCGCTGAATTGTCGGCGACATGCTGTTCTTCAGAAGCAGCTCTTTTGAGGAAGAGCTCCCCTGTGACATGGGGAACAGCCGCAGCGAGACAGGAAATATCCCTGACATTATGGCTTTCTACATCATGTAGTAGCCGCGATCCAGTCCCATGGACATGCCGAGAAAGTTACGAAAAGCCATTCCTCTCAAATCTCCCGGGAAGCTCTCCAGGCACAGATTTTCCTGTTCCTTCTCTTCTCTCCATAGTTCCCTCTCACGGGATCTAGACCATCTGCTTGGGCTGCACTTCCCACCCCTCTGCCCTGGAGGCAGTGAGTGACCGGAGGAGCGCAGGGCAAGGGAGAAGTGGATGCAGTGTGAGGCCATGTCAGGGTGCGTGGCTTCCTCCGCTGCCGTGGCCGCTGATGCTGTGAGACACCATGCCCTGCCGGTTTCGGCTCTCGGAGGGTACCAGGGAGGTGGGTGCAGCCCCTCCTCGGGGCTGAGTTTTAGCTACGCGCTCTCCTCCTAGCAAAGCCGGATGCTAAGGAGCATTTCACAGGATCAGGCTTTCTCCAGTTTGTACGTAAGTGGGATTGCTTCAGGCTATTGAACCAGCCTGCTGCAGACTAGCCAACCCCAGAAGTTTTATCTGTGCTGTAGCAACCTCAAGCCGCTGCTGTTCTGCTTGTGTATCTAATGTCTCAGCTGCTTACTGAGGAGCTAATGAGCTTTTGGAGATACATGGGTGCTATAAACTCCTTAGGCCGGAGATAAGCAGCTTATTTCCTTTAGGAGCACTGCCAGCCCTTGGCTGTGCTGCTGTGGTGCTTCTCAGGCCCCAAGTTCTTCATTAGCAGGAAGGGTTATAACGTGTTGCAATAAATAAGTGTATTCCTAATTACATGCATACACACATGTGCTGCAGCCACCTCCACAGGCTGAGGTAAAACCTGGCAGCGGGAGAAATGGGCACCAACAGGCTTTACACGCTGTGTTGTCACGTCTCCCTGCACGACTGACTTCAACCCTCGCAAACTGCCTTCTCTGCACGGGGGCTGACCCATCTCGTCAGTGCAGGGTGAAACCATCACCCTCGTCATGGTGAAATAGCCTTCAGCACCCAAAAGCAAACTCGCCGTGGACAGCGTGGGCAGCTTCAGAACAAAAGGTGGCTGTTTTGATGATGAAACAACTTATTTCCATTGCTATCCTTTTTCTGCTTTTGGATAGAACTACTGTGAACACCTGTCTAGAAAATTCACTGGCTACAAAAGAGGTAATGCACAACTGAAAGTTCATTTTCAAAGTCATTGTGAAAGCAGGTTTTTACTTCCTTAGTATGAATTCAGCCCTTGCTGTTTTCCACTCAGTGTCTACAGTGTCTGCCATCAAAAGCAATTCTGCTGCAGCTGGTCAACAGGCTGCAGTTGCTTACTAAAGGCTAAAGAGAGCCTTCAGATAAAATCTGCTTGGCTAGTCAAAGCATCTTCATCTTATTGTGTATTTCACTCCCCCCCCCGCCTTTTACATATTACCCAGGTATAAATTAGCCCAACAGCAGTCTTTCAAGGTGTAACTAGGACCATAATTTGGTATGCAGCTCTCAAATTTTTGTTTAGTAGCTCTCCTTGGAGCAGTTTTGGAATTACTCTAATCATCAGGGAAAGTTATTTGAGGTGCTGGAAGTACTTTCTGATACCATCTCTTAACGTGAATAAATAAAATCTGAAAGCTGATTTCTTTGCTGCTCTACTGTCCTTATATATTACCTTTCCTGTTGGTTTATACCTGTGCAGAGCTTAGACCGAAGCCAGAACTACTCTCTTATTTTGGCACTCTGTGCAAATGGATATCCCCCCTCCTTGCCTGTGGCCCCTTCCCCCCCTCCACAGCTGGCTGAAATGAAAGGGTGAGCAATGTAAAAACCTTCAATGTGACTAAAACTGTGAGATTTAACAGTATCAGAGAGTCTATGAACACTAGTTGAATGCTAAATTCTTAGTTAAACGGGCGTTGTTTGTTTAGCTAAAGCCCTTGCCAGGGTGTTGGAATGGGATGATAATCCAGCAGCGTATTCCCGTAATGGGAGCAGCGGTTCGGAGGTCAGCTCTAGGCTCTCCACCACTGCTGAAGCAGTACAGACAGTTCAGCATCATGTCTGGAATTCAAATCAAGCCATCACCAGATTCATGTTCAAGGGCTGAAAGTCGCTAACTAACCCTTCTGTATTTAAATTACTTATTCAACAAAGGCGTCCTCTCGTCATTTAATTTTGAACTATAGAAATAGCATGTAAAAAGATTTTGCAGTTAGAAGTGTTCGTGGGTCTCAACCAACTTTATAGGCTAAAAGTAAAGTGTGAGAAACATTTTTTACCATGCTATCCTATCAATTGAGCTTTTAAGGCAGGCTGATGAAAAGGAATCTATTATTTTAATAGCATTTTCTCTCTGGTAAAAGGTCTTGCTAACTTACTGAAGCAGAGCTTGAAATAACAGATAAAAACTGTCAGAAAAGCTCTGATGTAGTTTGGAGCTCAGTGAAAATTGTGACCAAAATCTGAGCCTGATCAAACCCTGAGTTAAATGCCAAAATGCCCCAGGATTCCTCGGATCATCATGCAAGCTGTTAAGGATAACAAACAGCTTATTTGTTTGGGGTTGGGTTGGTTTGTTTCTTAGTTGTTCCTTTTGTGCAAAGGGTTTTTCTTTGGGAGGATTGGGTGGTTTCATTTTTTATTTATTTGGCCTTTTGCTCTTGTATTTTACCTAATAAAATTCACTTCAGTGATGCAGGGCTGATGAGGGAAAACCTCCCACAGCTGTGTTAAACCTGAAGTCTTCATACCTGAGAGGAGCAGGGTATGGGTTTTTGGTAAGAGCCAACAGGATTTCACATTGTTTGTGATGTTGAAAAAAATGGTTGTGGTTATATGCATTGGTTATATGCATCGTACAAAAGCCTTGTTAAAAGCCTCTATATATCGTTTGAGTGCCAATTGAATTACCTTTACAATAAGAACACAATGACTGGGAGGATTATGGAGAGCTGTATGATTTTCATCCATGCAATGCTTGAGCCCAGCCTGGGAAACAAACCTCATCTGCCAAGCTCTGTAGGGCCATTTCCAGCTTTTCTTGAAGGAGGGACCTGGCTCTGCTACCAATAAATAAAGTGGGAATTTTGACGCTGCTTTGAAAGGGAGCTAAACTGAGCTCCGTGAAAAGGGAGCCCTAGCATGCAATGCTGCTTTTCTTTTTTTCATATTAATGTAACTAATTAAATGTTTGTATTTTTTTAAGCACTAACTGGGTTTTGATGGTCGTTTAGAGACTTTGAGAAAGTCAATAATTGTGATGAAATAAGACTGTAGACGCCAGAACAAAGTCCACATGAAATCCGTGATGTTGCTAGGATACAGCTATTAGTATTTTCAGTTGGCTGGGGTATTTTTTTGGTGTGGTTTTTTTAATAGAGTCGGCCTAACCTCCCTTACAAACAGTAGAAGAATACGTGACTGCCTGATCCCATTTACGTGATGCTCCTTCAATTCACAGTAATGAAGCCAAACTTGACCCATCAGTTGCAGCCGCTTTTATTTGTGAAGAAGAAACACAGAGAGTATTTTTGACCTGAGCTAGAGGGAGCACATCTTATCTGAATCTTGATTTTTTAAAAAAAAAATGATGTGCAGGGTTTTCTCCCTGTGGGTGTTATATTGCTGAAGTCAGTCTCCCTCTAGTGGTTTATTTCCAGAGGGGCCCTTGGCTTTACTGGCTTGGACGGGTACCAAATTTGATAGTGTGATGGCAGAAAGTTGAATGGCCCCTATGAGCTGAACTGTAAAGCATCATTGAGCTCATAATTTTTAAGAGCTAGGCATAAAACCTATACAAATATTATTTTCTGCGGTTTTTATATTTTAGAATTTAGTTATTGTTTACAGTATCAATAGTAGATGAGGCTTTCCATCCCAGGCTTACTCTGTGGTACAGGCTAACATGGTTTGCTCGGTGTGTAGGATGTGACTCTTGCACATTGTTTCCTTCAGATGTATACTGGGATGCCTGTAAAAAAAAAAGATCAGTATTTAAGCTCATATTCCACATCAAAGCCAATGCCAGATGTGGTGCCAATAACATTCTTTTTGATTTAGTATAGCACAGAATAGCATTGTGGATGGTGCTATTTTGGGATCCCCATGTTTGGGGAAGCGATATCTAAGTGAAACACTCTGCAGATATTTTACTGGGAAATAAGGAAAAGCAAGCTGTTTGGAGTTTGTTTCCAAGATATAACTTAGATTTGAGGTCTGACAGGTTTCTTCCATTTATGCCCCTGACCCCACCTTTGCTGGGCATCTCTTTCTTTAGCAAATAAGATAGCTCCAGTGCCTTACAAGCGTGGGGAATGGGAAGGGGGAGGGATGAAGGCAGAAGCCTAATATCCAAAGCTGAGTAAGAAATTCAAGTCTCCTAATACCCAATGCATGGACTGGATGCTGAGTTAAGCCAGTTCAGCTCCCCGAAGATGGCTAAGTAAATAATAAAGATCTAATGTAAAGCATATTGAAGTCAATACATGCCTTTACTTAACTGAAAAGGGCTTTGGACGAGGCTCAGCCTTCCTTCACAAGTGATGGTAACCCAAGAGAGCTGTGATTCTGCAGTGCATCAAGGATCCTGGAAAGACTGATGTCTTCCCAGCTAGTACACTAATGTGAGGTAGCTAGAGGACTGGTACTGCCTTCTTCATGTTCACATCTGGCAGAAGTCTGTCCTGTGATTTGCTTTTTCATGTACCAGAGAAGCTACTTGGCTTTGGGTTTTCCTTTATAAACTGTAATAGAGAGAAAGCTTGGAGAAATTTAGGATCACCTGCCCCAGAAGTTAGCAAGCTCCCATTCCGTTCTCACAGGCCTCTGGACCTGGACGTTGTGAGATGCCGTCGCCTTCCCATGAAGCCTTTTACAGTATGTCCAGTTATGTAACAACTTGAAGGGTAAGCCTTTACTTTTGTTTGACTTTTACTTAATGCTCAGCTTCTATTGGGCAATCGGGAATCTTGATCCCTTGGGAGACTGCTTAAAACACTTTCTTTTGGACGCTGCTCTGTAAAAGCTGCACAGCAGTTCCCATGACAGTGATTTTGGAGCCAATTTTGTCTTTCATTTTTGTTATCACTTTTCAGGCTGAAGTTTCCACACAGTGTCCTGGCCAAAGCTGATTTGATTTTGGTTTATAGCTTGAGCAAGAACTGTTCTGTTATTTTTTTTTAATATAAAACATATGCATTTACTCCTAGCATGTGGAACAAAATTCTTGCACTTTTTAACAGCTCCACAGCTAAAAAAGCAGTCGTACAAATTCAGTATGCACATGGTCCTCTCTGAGATTTGTTCTAGCATCACTCACAGACAGAAAGTTAATAGGAGTCCTATGTTTAGAAGGAGGTCATGGACACTTAAGGGATGCCCATGAAGGCATGAACTGGCTTTACTTTTATGTAATTGTACAGATTATTTTTTTTTTTAGACTTTCACAATGCATATGTAGAAACTTTTTTAGTAAGGAAGGAAAGGATCTAGTTGAACCGCACTTCCTTTTGGACTAGTGAACAGTTATGCCAATTGTACAAGCTAAGGAAAGGTTTCTCTGCTTGTTTGACTTTGGTAGGTTCATGCATTTGAAGGATGACTTCAGCAAACAGGAGCTTGCAGGAACCAGCTGTGTGAGGAGTCTCTCCCGCAGAGCAGTGCTTGGTACTGTGCGGGAAACCTTCTGTCCCAGGCAGGGCTGGACTCAAGCCTGCGAGAAAAACAGGCGCGGCGAGCCAGTTTGTTTTTAACAAAACGAAGTTATGCAGTATCATTTAGTTCTGACATGTTCCCACTATGCAGCAAATGAAGAACTCACTAAATACAGCATATCTCTGGCCATATCATTTGAATATAACTTGTTTCCATGACAACCTCTGCTTAACAGCTTGGCTGATATGAAATCATTCCTAGATGAGGGAGCTTTTGCCAAAAGCATTGGGATTCAACAATTTAATACCACGTTTTAGCTTTTAAAAAACATTTATTTAAGCCACTGGAAGCAAATATCAAATAAAATCCCTTCAACCTCACTTCTGCTTCGGCTCTCGGTTGATCAGTTTATCTTCCTGGGAACCTCTCAGAAGCAGCTCTTGTGTTACTTAATATGCTTCTGAAGTCCCAGGCAGTGTTTCAAGAGCAAGTGATCGTGACACCAGCGTTTGGTAGAGAAATCACATTTCATGGCTGTTGGCTCAGACTGCGAGGCAGCGGGGCAGCAGCTGGGCACAGCAGCCAAGGCTTGTGCTCGAGCCATCCCTCAGGTCCGGGAAGGTTTTTGCTCCAACTAGCTCTGCCTTGGAGTTAAAAAGAAGAGCTTTGGCTGGAGAGAGGTCTAGCCCAACATTCCACATGGTTCATTTTGTGTCAGGAGCACTGAACAAACAAACCCAGGTTATCTGTTAGATGTTTTCTAAGGTGCAGTACCTGTTGCCTCAGAAATAGCTGTGGAATACTTCCAGGGTGCAAATGCAACATGACTGCTCATATGGTGCTTGTTCCCTTCCTCCCTTCCAGGTGCTACATTGCATTGGAATATAGCTAAAATAAGCCTAATGCTTTCCTAATATTTCTCACATACGCAGGCATTGCTGTTGCCACAGTGATGGTACACAGCTGTCAGTGGGAGAAAGGATGGTCCTGAAGGTTTTAAGAGGCAGTCCGCCCCTTCAAACTGCTGTTGCTTTATATCGCGGGGATTCCCTGCACTAGCTGGGAGCAGGGGCTATGGGAAAAGCTACCAGAACACGCAAACAACCTTTCAAGCACATGTAACATACCCATTGCTGTCAAGATTTTGGGATCAGCAAGGATTATAAGAGTAGGGATTTAAATCTCAAGTAAAACCATGGAAAGAGTTATGAAGTATTCATTGTTTCTTCTGGCTATAACTTGCCTGCTTCAGCTCTAATTAGCCCAGTGTGGAGGGACTTGGGCCTTTGCTGTGGCAAAGAGGTTCAGGTGCCTGAAAGTGGGTGCAGACAAGCAGTGCGAGGAGCACAGAATGGGGCAGAACAGTATTTCTCACTCCAGGTTTTTTGGTTTGTTTTTTTCTCCGCAGTTGTTACCTGGGAAAACTTCAGCTGTTACCCATCTGTAATCAGCTGAGCTGATCTACCAGCTGACTCCTGCTCTTGGCCACAGAGTCCTGCTTTATAAGGCCTTAGCAGAAAAGTGCGTGTTTTCCTGGAGAACTCTGCAAGCAAAAGGAGGATGTGGCTGGGAGAAAGTGTAAGGAATGGAGCCAGAAGCCCCTTCTACGTGGTGAGCTTTAAGCAACTCATCTCACCTTTGCACCATCTCGTAGCGCGGGACTGCACCATAACACAGTTTGTTTATGGTAAATCTGCTTGAGAAGGTACAAAAGCACAAGAGCTGGTATCACCAGGGTTTCTTTTAAAAGGAGCCTTCCAGATATATGGCAAATATCAACAAAACACATTTTTAATTAAAGCCCTATAACTATCTCTCTGATAATGCTAATAATTTCCTGGGATTTTTAATCTCTGAACTGATTTCATTCAAGGTGTGCTGGCAGCATGAGGTGGCTAAGCAGAATTGGGATGCTGTTCTTGTGATTGTTTTTCCTTGTGAGATCCATCTCAGGAGACTCGTTTTTGCCTCTGTGTCACGACTTCTGAGAAATCTCTGTAGGCCAAAGATGCACTAATTCAATACATCCTGTGATTGCCCTTCCTCCACAGCCAGATTAATTTACTGTTAGTTGAGATTCCCACAGTGTACCTTGTGCCACTGTGAAGCCTGGCATTTACCCATGTAAACAAGAAATAAAGGGAGGCTTTACGTGTCTCATTTGGAATAATGATGCAGACTCTACCGCCTGGTACTCACTCCATGTCTTGGAGGTGTGGGGGTTGTACTTCTATATTGCTTCTTGCAGCTCAGATTTTTTATAACAGAGTAATTTTTTTTTTCAACCTGAGCTATAGTGTTTTAAACAATGAGCAGCTCTCTGATAATGGAATCTGGGGGTTTTCACTGAAGCATGTGGCTCCCATGCAGGTGCTGGATACAAAGTTAGTTTTTGCAGTACAGTCTAGTGGGTTTGGCCTTATTTCCAGAGTGATTCTGCTGCATATCCGAGATTTAATACGTTGTTGGCAACCTCAGCAGAGAACACCAAAAATGTATTAGGTGTGGAGACTATTAGTGGCAGTCACGGAGGCAAGATGTGGCCCTTTAGGACTGTAAGAAATTAGCACTCTCCTCCTCTCCTCCTGTCTTTTCCAGCTCTTCTGAGACAATCTGTGCCTAGATATAGCCATTTACTGCGGGGTTTTTTTTTCAGGATTAACATTTTTGGTGGGCTCACCATTAAAATAGAGAGAAAATGCTTGGAGTGGGCATAGCAATGAATTTTTAGATTCCAAGCTCTCCCAAATGGTCATTATCTTGCCTTCTATTTAAAGAGGAGTAAATTAAATTGCGAGAGATGGTGCAACTGGTTTTGCAGATCTTATTTAATTTGGCTTAGCAGTTAGCATTTTCCATCTGCACAACATAATCATTAACTTTTTTGTTTCTTCATTGTCACTGTACAGACTGCTTTTTACGGGTGATCTCTGCCCTTTCTTACTGTTAGGTTTTTTTTATTTCTTTAAAGGAGTGTGTCTTTATTGATTTTTCTTTTGGGATGCAGTATATATAAAATTATTCATCCTACTAAATGTGCTTGCAAGGAAACCTCTGTGATTCATGGTCTTTGATCCTGCTGTGGGTGTTTAACTTTACTACTGTGCATAGTCCCGCTGGGGAGAATCTTAATTTCAGAAATACTATTATAAAAATAACGCGAGGTTTTTAGCATGTGTCTAATGCCGGATTATGAGGAGCATCTCCCTATAAAACCAAGCGTGTAAATTAACTAGGCTGTAGAGAAGATGAGAAAATAGATAAATCATCCCCCCCACCCCAAGGCTGGAAAGGTTCGCTGTTGCGTTCTCGTCTCCATCCACGGCCAGTTTGCACGGTACTCATCCCTCTGTTTCGTGAGCGCGCTAGGGTTTCGTGTCCTAAAAATTGGATTTTTTTTCGGAGACGTTTAGTTTTCCGGTCAGCATTGCCAAGCCGGACTGAGCACGAAGGTGGTTTTCTTCAGAAAGGCGGCCCCAGAGGCTCTGAGGTGAGGTGCGGGTACGGGCAGGGAAGGGGCCGCCGCGCCCGCCCAAACCCCTCACGGCCGCGGGTCCTCGGC